TTGCAGGATACATCAGTCTTGGTTGTAGGTTGTTTTCTTTTAGGACTTGAAATACCTCACTCCAGGCTCTCCTTCACCTGAGGGTTTGTGTTGAAAAGTCTGCTGTAATTCTGATGGGCTTCCTTTGCATGTGATTTGTTTCTTTTCTCTTCCTGCTTGTAGTATTTTGTTCTTCTGTTGGGTTTCTGGGATCTTGATTATTATATGTTTAGGTGTAGATTTTTTTATCCTGGCTAGTTGGTGTGCTGTGTGCCTCGCTTATCTGTATGTCTAATTCTTCCCCTCTGTTTGGGAAGTTTTCAGTTATTAATTCTTTAAACAGCTTTTTAAAGTCATTTATATTTTCTCCTGGTACTTCATGGATTCTTATCAGTCTTATGTTATTCTCCTTTGCATCATCTAGGAGTTGTTGGATTGATTTCTCATGCTCCCTTACTGATTTTAAGAGATCTCTTTTCATGGTCGCTGTCTGCTATCCTATCTTCTATATCTGAGATTCTATTCTTACAATCTTTTATTCTGTTGCATAAACTTTCAATAGAGTTTTTATTCTCCTGGATATCCATTTGAATCTGTTTAATGGATTCCATTTCTTTCCTATGTTTGGTGTTCATTGTTTCCATATCTTTCTTATGTTGGGCCTTCATGGCTTCTATTATGCTCCTAAGCTCATCTATTTTTTTGTCAGTTTCTGTTCTGGAGCCTTGAATCATGTCTTTCATTTTGCTCACCATCTCTATGGTTATCTGGGAAATAATTTCTGTTTTGAATTTTTCTAGAGCTTGATTGATCAATTTTTTTACTTCCTGTGCTGTGAGTTCTGATTTTCCTGAAGGTTCACTATCTGATTTTTCATCCTCCTTTGCCCTACTGTTTGCAATTGGTGGATGGAAGTCTGTTTTTGTGGCTTGCTTAAGTGTTTTCTCATCTTTATTTTTGCTGTTGAGTTGCCCTTGATTCAATCTCTGGGTCATTAAATCTTCCTGATATCGTTGCATCCCAGTCTTTGATTTTCTAATGACTTATAGACATTCTCATTTTCATAATTGAGAAAACAACTTATCAAATCAATCCCTGTCCTTTATCCCTATCAATACAATCAGGAATATAATTGGCTCATTCACCACTCTTTATAGCCCACCATGCCTCTGCAGAGTGCATCCAAGGACTGCCTCAATCAGGGGATCTAATAGGGGGGTGGGGGTACTCAGCGGCACCCACTCAGCTACCCTCCTGGTGCTCTGTCAGAGCCAATCAGTGGTGTCCACTGGAAATGGCCCAGCTCCAGAGGAGGTCCATAGTTCAGGCAGGGCCATGCAACAGAGGTGGCCCTGAGTCCAAGCTGGGCAGATGATGCCTCTTTTTGTTACTTTAAAACACAATAATCACAAAAATCAAATTCCCTTTAAGGCAGTGAGTAGGGCAAAAACGGCTAAACAAGCTACCAAACATATTTAAGTCCTCTGTACATGATGTGTCCACTAATGCTCCACGCATCAAAGCTGTATAAGCCCACTTGTACAGAATGGCAGTGGGAGAGGGCATTTACCTGTTGAGGATAGTAATATGCCAAAAGAGTATGGAAATGTAACATAGGCATCAGCAAAGAGTTGGGAATGGAAATCCTTTCTGCAGCCCTCCCTAGTGTCACAGAGACAGCAATGCACTGAGGTTCCTACACAAATGGGCAGGAACAGTGCAGTATGGCCTACTAAGTGACTTCATGTGGGCTTAGCCCAAATAGTCATATGGATGTGGATGGATGTGACCTCTCATCAAGAGCTTCCAAAAAGTACATGCATGTTAACTCACATGCCTCAGAAAAGTCGCATTGCTCCAATCTGAATAAAGAGATACAGTTATGTAACCAGCCAACAAACAACTGCCAAACACCTAAACTACAAAATGATGTGGGTGTTACTGAGTCCCAGAGAGAAATGGTGTCTGTCAAGGACCAATTGACCTTTCTGGGAAGACATGACTAACACACTTGCAACTTTTATTGAACAAGCCAGTGTGTGATTAAGTACTCAACCACTTAGAAGAGCTCCTAGAGAAAGGGACTGCGTTTCACAAAGTGTTAATTGCACAGCATGGAACACATGCAGAGAAAGCCTTGGGGAGCTGAGAGCTTTGAAAGGGGACCTTGAATGTCCTATAGATAGAAAGAGCAGATAGGAAATGTTAGATACGCATTTCCAGAGAGAATAACCAGATGAGTCGGGAGAGATGAGGCACAATAATAGAGTGGGACAATATAGGATTGCTGTTTAATAGACTTTTGCAGAATTATATGCCAGGAGCAAGAAGGAGAAATGGAAAACCGCCTAGACTGACAAATACTTTGGCTGCCCTGGTCTGGGAGAAATTCCCAAGCTGTCTTTTTGAGTTAAAGTTCTATTTTCTTTGTTATTTTTTACTGCTTCAAAACCATTTACTTTCTGACTAAACTGTGGAGGGAAACAAAATTTAAATGATTCAACATATGTCACCCAGAAATACTGAGCCTTGGTGTTCTTTTTTAAAGAAAGACAAAGCCCCATGAGAGGTCTATTTTTGGTCTGAGCAGATTTCCATTTCAGCCAGAGCTAGCTGGGATGATACTTTTCCCCTCTCTCCTATTCAGCATAGGAGCCAGTTGGGATTTTTTTTCAAAGGCCTGCTGTTGCTTAGCGTCTTAAATGAATGCAGCATTGCAGTATGTAGCTCAGCTGAACCAATAAATCATGACCTGCAAACTCCAGCCATTGTGCCCTCCTGATTATCACAAACACAAGGATTTTCTGTTCCTTTTCTTCCTTCCTTTGAAGCAACATAGCACCCAGTGATTATCATATGAGGGGGAAGAATTAAAAATTGAAAGATATTTTTGTAGTTTGAGTTAAAATGCTGCTTTGGGATCATAAATGTCATTTTAAAACCTCCACCCAAATGTGGTTCCAGGATCACAGGAAAATTAAACACCTCTTTGCCTCTTTGTGTGGCTCTGGTCAATGGACAGAGTGGTGTGTAGCCTCACTGTTAGAAACTTTCTTGTCAGTGAGTCACAATAGCTCACACTCACAACTTAAAGGAGAGGTTAATTTTGGTTTACAGTCATAGTCTGTGGTCTGCCAACTCCAAGGCAGAAATATAGTAGAGGAAAAGCTGCTCCCATCATGGTGGTCAAGAAGTGGAGAGAGATTGGAGAAACATGGGAGAGAGAAATATCTCTCCAGGTCATGACCCCATGACCAGCCCCTTTTGATGAAACTCCCCTCCTAACAGCAAGGCAGCTACACTGCTCCCATGATTCAGTCACCTTTCCAAAGCCCTGCTTCTGAACATATGAGGTTTTGGGGGACATTCTCCATCAAAACCATGCACTCATCATATTCAGGAAATGCGCATGCATCTCTTTCTCATTACTTAGAACATGCACTAGTGAGTAAGAAGCCCACCTGTTGCCAGTGTGTAGCTAATACTTATGGCACTGTTATCCTGTGACCAGAAGTTGCTGTACAAAGGAAACTTGCCTTTGGGACATCTTTTTGAGTAGGTATCAAGATATAGTAGGTATCTCATAAGCAAGAAATGTACCTTTGCTATGTTACACCCCTGAAACCTCAAGGTTGCATGTTTTCACAGTTTTACCTACCACCCAGCCTAATAAATGGTAACCAATATATCTATAAAGGTTTAAAGTAAAATACCCTTAATTTGGGTCTAAATAACAATGACTAAATAAAATATGGCCTAAAGGGAAATCTATTTGTATCACATGTATTGATCCCCTAAACTCTACTCTAGGTCTTACTCACTGGTAAATTGCCCAGAATCTTACTTAAAACTTGATAATTCTTACTTTAGACATATGTAATTCAAACACCAGTTCTTTCTAGATTAAAACAAAAAGTTATCAGGAAATATACTTGCTGTTATAAACAGAGAGTGGACTGCTTATCAGCTTGAGAGCTTTTGCTATATTATTGGTCCTGAATTTTGGTGAATGCACAAGTTCCCTTTCTTAATGTGTGAATTTCTGAAATGTCTAGTTTGTATGCTGAAGACGATTTTTTCAATGTCTTCTTTGCAATTCAGACCACACGATAATTCCACCACTACTTAGACATGATGGAGTGGAAGAAAATCAAAAGCTTGATACCACTTGATACATGAGGGAATTTAAGCACACAAGCTAAGTGTCATCGTGTCTTCCCACCAGCGGCCTGCAACTCCAGATCTGAGAAAAGCTACAAAACGCTGAGAGGTCTTAGAGCATCAGCTCCATATTATAAAGGGAACACTGTGATGTATAAGAAAAACGTCTTATATAAACACCTACTGTACTCTTTAGCATAGCAAGCTTTCTTCATATTAGTCACAATTTCTTTGGGGGCAATATTTTCAGTATAAGCCCAAGTCCAGTTGGCAACGGCAGGCATATAGAACTGAAGATCTTTGATTACTATCTTCTCCTGCAAACTTGACTACTTTTCATAAAGACATTGACTGCCAGGTGATATCTGAGTGTATGTAGTGTGATGGGAGCTAACAGATCACATTTGCTCCAACCATTAGATGTTTTAACAAATTTCTAGATATTCAAAATTAATCTCTACAAGGTAGCAAAACCTTATGGTTCACTATGCTTCATCTACTATTGTTCCATGTCTGGAGAGAAGCAGGGAGAGAGCAAACCACAGAGAAACTACGATGAAAGTGAATTTCTAATTCAGGTATTTCCCGGAGTAAATGTTTCTTATGAAAATTTAAGAAAATTGGTGTGGTTTATTAGCCAGCCCATCTCCCAGAATTGCATATGGAAATTCTTTGACTATGTGCCAATGTGCTTTAAATATGTAATCTATCCCCAAAGACTCATGGATGGAGGGCTTGATCAGTGCAGAAGTCATTGGATGCAGGGCTTAAAGAACTTACTCAGAAATGTGGCTTTAACTTTAGCAGTGGATCTTATCAGTGCATGAATCCACTGGTGAGTCATAATTTGACGGCATTACCTGGAGCAGCAGGTGGGACCTCACTGAACAGAAATGTTCGTGGGTATGTGACGTTGGGGATTACAGCTGACTTCAACCTCTTCCTCCCTGGCTCTTTCCCTTGTTCTGTGCTTCCTGAGCAAAGAAATGGATATGAAAATTACATGAGGTGAGTAGCTTTGCCTTTCTGCCATGATATTCTGCCTTACCTCAGGCCCACAGCAGTGGAACCAGACACCTTGGACTATAACCACTGAAACTCTGAAACTGTGAGCCTAAGTATATATTTCCTACTTTATGTTGTTTTTCTTGGGTAATTTGTCACAGTGATAGAACACTCTCTAACACATGAGTATAGGCTAATGTTTATGTGTAGCACCCAGATGTTTGGAATGATGACAAAAGAGAAAAATTAAGATGACCCATGCCAAGTATATCCTACAGGAGGTTACTGTCTTTTCATAGGACGTAACCGAGTGTCTTTGGTAAAGAGCTCATGTTGAATCTATTGCCTTCATCAGCATCTCAAAGTAGTCCTGTGACTCTGATCCCCAAAGGTAGGAAGCTCTGTCTCCTCCAGTGTCTACACAAGTCAACAGCACATTTACTCTTCCACAAGTCTCTAAAGAGAATGCAGGCAAAACTTTCCTTGGTCTCTCTGCAGCTCCTTTTTCTTTTCTTCACTTTTTTCTTCTCCCTCAAAGCATCCATGACCTTCTGAATCCTATCCAAGTACTCACTGATGAAATTATTTTCTCAGAGTTGTTAATTGTGAGATTTAAAAATATATCATCTCTCTCAACACTCTTTTGTTCCACACTTACAGTAAGTAAAAGAATGAGAATAGAAACCAAAGAATAATGCCTCTGCTAAGAGTTTTAGGCATGAGGCTCCTGGACTAAAATCACTGTAGGGATCCTTCCTCACACCTGTAAGTGATAACTGCATGCATAGCCAATTGAGATCTGACCTTTCCTTAAACTATAGATACTCAAAAGGGCATAATTTTAGTTCAGTGGGAGAAAAATCAGCAAAATTTGTAGAGATGGCAAATAAGGGTTGGCCAATTTTCATATCCATTTTCATTCTGATCACATAGCCTTTGGTGTCTCTCGTCTCTTTTCCTGATCTTTAAACTGTATAATTTTATGGCTTAAATAACATTAAAGCACATAAGGACTTACATCAGTGACCTTGCTACAAAGAGAAAAGGGCAGGAAAAAGCCAGAATTGCTATTCTTGGGTTTCCTATAACATCTTCCCAAGGAAAGATGCAGGCAGGAGAGTGGTGAGTAGCTGTCTAGCTCACACACTTCTCTAGCACAGAGCGGCATTCAGCGTTTATGCTACCTCCTCCTGCACCTACGGACCATTCACCAAAGGCTACTTCTACCCTCTCCCCTTCTTCACCTTCCTCCTGCCTGGCACACCTTGGTATTCTCTTGGGAATACCTGTGGTTCTTTCCAGCACCTTTCCCAGTCCCTACACCCTTCCTTTAATAATGCACCTCATGTCCCTGAGGATATGAAAGACATTCTCACCCATGTATCCACATCAGTGTCTTCCTCTTGGAGAGAAGAATGTGGTCAATTACCTGTTGAAGGTATTGAGAAGAGAATGTATAATGATATTGCTTATGTGAGCCTGGAAAGAGAGATCATTTGAGATCATCTTGACAGCTTCTGCAAGTCTGCTATGATGCTCCTGAAACCTAATCATCCTCCAGATTTTGCCTACTTTTCTGAGCAGCAGTGGATGTATGTGTGTCTCTGTTCCATTAGCATTAATGGGAATTGGGAGCACTTAAGAGGAGGCAATCCTTTCCTTAGAGATGCAATTGCATGCATTAAAATATCAAAACATGAGAGGCTACATTTTGATATGTGGTGGATCCAGATGAATGGCCCCATTAACACTAATGGAAGTGAGGCCTACATTCCCCTACCACACCAGCAGGACAGATATATGAATCCTTATGTCACTGGAGGCCTGGGCTTTTTGAATGACCTCATCCTTGCATGTAGTTTGCTTTGGTTTTACAAATCCAGCTGGAATTATCCTTGAGTGGCTATAGTTGCTAGGTCTTTACCCTGGTACTGGCAGTCTTTGGGAGCATGGCTTTAAACAAATGCATGTAACTGATGTCATAAGCCACATTATAAACATTTGTCCAATCCATTTATTATTATATATTTCAAATAAAAGGTAAAGCAAATTGAGCGTATTTACTTCCTGGAAAAGGAGGTGCAAAACCTTGAACCTCAAAGATCTATGCATACTGTACATCTAAGTTCCTTAGGATACCATCTACTCCTATAGGGGCATTGTCCAGACCATTCTACCCTAAGCCTCAGCTGTCTTCCCTTCCTTAGAGTAAAATTTGTATTAATTATCTTTTCTTCGGTGTCTTTTCTCTCTCTTGCTTTGTGCTACTCTCTTACCACTGAATATTTTGGGTACTTAATATTTACTTGATTACAAAATCCCAGAACCCCAAAATGTAAAATTAAAAGGAGATACAGCATCTTAAGAAGGAAGATAACATATTCAAATTATTCACTAAAAACCATTAGTCAGCAAGGAATAAAAATCAAGGATCCAGGGAAAATTGAGCGATAAAGTGTAGCCATTAAAACCATGGAATTAAATATCCCTGGGTTCCAATCTAATGTTTAATGTGTGATTTTAATCAAGTCATTTAGCCTTTCCAGTCTCTACATCTATTAACATAATATATATCTACCTTTTTCTTGCACTTGTGATCAAAAGTCTGTGACTATGACAATGCTTGTGAAATAAGCACATTAGTGATTTATAATAAACTCATATTCTTGTATTCTTGTTTTGAATCTGTAGATTGGTTGGAATGTTCTGCATGCCTGGTCTTGGCTTAATTAACTTATTCATACGTGTTTGGTGAGTTAGTTGGTTTGTCTGATCTGGCTAGCTACCTTAGTTCATTCAATGTGCTGTAGCAAAATACCATAGACTTGGTAGCTAATGAACAACAGAAGTTTATTCTTCATCCTTGGAGGCTGAAAGTCCTGGTTCAATGTGCCAGCATGGCTGGGTTCTGGTAGGGGCCTAGTCCCAAGTTACAGTCAGGAGTACAGACTTGTGTACTCAAGTTACCAAGGGAATTTCTGGAATCTCCCTTCCAAGGGTGCTAATCTCCACCTTCATGGTCTAATTACCTCACAAAAACCCTATCTCCTAGTGCCTTCCTATTAAGGGTCAGAATCTCAACACATGAATTAGTAGGGGTACATCTGGGATGGCTTTTGCAGGAATGGCTTATCTGTACCCCACATTATTTCTCATCTTCCAGTTGCATCCCCTAGACTTGGTCTTCTGGTGGCAGGGGTACAAGAGAGATCAAGAGCACATCTGGCTTCCTACCCTTGGAGTTGTACTATCATATGCTCTGTATTTTAATGGTCCAAGCCAATCTCCATACGCTCAAATTCAGAAGATGAAGACATAGAGTCCAGCCCCTGATAGAACTTACTGCAAAATCACACTGCAGCTGGTGAGGTAAAAAAGGAATAGCAGAGCAAGACTGTTTCCCAGAAAGTCTCCCACAAGCCAGGATGAGATTCTCTAATCTAAAGGATTTCGCACACTATGTAGCACACAGAAAAGTGCACAAATTGTTGGAACGATGGTAAGCATAACATAAAGCTATTAATCATTAAGTACACTGCATTGTATCTGACATGTTTTATGTGTTTCTTCATATGGGTTCCGATTTCTCTCAGACTCAGGAACATGCTATGACTTACTGTAAAAATGGAAAATTTACTTATACCTGTGTTGCTCTGTTATCATAGGCTTCCCACAGAAATGTCATGCCCACCACACAGCTGACCTTATGGTTCATCCCATGACATCTGGACTAAGGTAAAATGTCACACAGTGCTGCCTGGGCTTCCTCTTCCTGGGAGAAGCTGCTAAACAGTTCAGTGATGAAAACTTGGAAGTCTTAGGGAGTTGATCCCTACGGGATCACCTTTGACCTGAGACATAGGGGGAAAGGAAAATAAATAAATAAATAAATGTTCTCTTATTCCTTCCTGTGGATTGTTTCCTATTTATAACTCATGCCCAGACATCCTGTGGTGCTGAGCCAATGCAGTTGTCAGGTTACACTGTAGCTGCAAACAGATCACTGTGAAGCAATCATTGGTATAGTCTCCTGTCACCCTGTTTTCTAACTTTTCTGGTCTTTCTTTACTTTGAAATTACTCTTACTGCCCTGAGTTTTCACACACATAAAACAAATGTACTTTATCTTTTTCTCAGGTACTTTTTCAAGACAACTCTGGTGAAGAAGAGTATTTATTGTAATCTTGCACATATACTAAATATAATATACATGTAAGTTGCATAGTGACTAATTTAAAATAATGTACAAATATTTGTCTAATGATTGGATTTTGTAGGAGTAATATCTGTAAAAATAACATGTATAAGATGGAGTTGCTCTGGAATCCACAGTTCGGTTTGGTTTTAAGTTTAACTTCAGTCATGAAGCTGGGGACATTTCGTAGAGATGGTTGGATGAATGACAGACAAGTGACCAGCAAAGCTGTGTGTGCCTCCTACATACAAAGACTAGAGTGCAGGTTCCAGGGCTGTATTTCACAGAATCTATATTTCTTTATTTCTGAATAGGATCAGTCGTTCTTCTGTATTTGCTTTACTTCATGCCCCTCCTTCCCTACATTGTGATACAAGATCTAAACCATTTCCTCAGGTGAAAAAAATGAACATACAAAGGAGAACCAAACTTCTCGGGCCACATAACTTCACTCACAGGAGATAGAGGTTTGCTCCCTCCTCTCTTGGCTTCCAGCTCATTCACACTCTTAGACATTTTTGTGGGGAGCCTGTCAATACCTTCAGCACCTGACCAGGGATAGTTCTCAAACTGGAGAAAGTTGGTGGTAGGCTGGATATTATCAGACTCATGATACTATACAGTTATCTGTTAAGCAATGCTTTATTGCAAAATTGTATAAAGTGGCATAAAGTGCATAAAGAACATGACTGTGAGGGATTCCAACCTGCATTCAAATGTGGATTCATGTCCTTATTAACCTTGACGTTAGTTTTGTCAC